GCCTTTTCTCTCACTCGCTCGCTTTGTGTTTTCTGTTGATTGGAAAATTTGTTGCGCATTTCTCGATAACGGTAAGGGGGGTGTCGGGGGCAGGCTTTGGCTTCTGCTTAAGTTTTCAATTACACGGCCCGGCACAATGCACCAATTGAAATGCACAGACAACAAACATAGAACAGTTCCCCTCTCTCTCTCTCTCTCTCTCTGTTCCCCCTTTGAACGTTTACATTGCCACATACCAACAACGAGGTAGACAAAAGCCGAGCCATGCGTGCGGCGAGGCGTGAAGGGGTCGTCCACGGGCGCTGCCTGCAGCGGGTGTGTACGAGACGAGCTGCAACGTAGGCGGGCAGGCGTGGGTGGAGCGGTCCAACGTTTCACGTGTTGCTGTTGTTTGTTAATACCCTGACAGTGGGTATTATGCTGGGGGCATGCAAATCAGGGAGATGAAACGATGCGGTCCCTTTTTCAGCACTACAAATAATAGTAATCCATACATTTCTGCACAAATTTCCCCTAAGCGAACAGACAACGTTCCATAAACACTCGTAAAAAAGGCAAAACCCTATGAAAATATTCGAAAAAATAGCTACAAAAGTTGCCAAAGGAGAAACCTCCATTTAGAGACTCTAAGAATTAAGTAAATCATTGTTAAAAATGCTCTTTGATTCTGCACTAAATAAGCTTTAGTTTCGCCATCTATAAATGTGTAAGCCTTATGTCCCACAACTCCCATTAGTATAATCAATTTGAAAGCGTATCAGCCGCTTCGCCGCTTTTCATTTTTGTTTTTCTCTTTTTTTTTGGTAGAGGCCCAGCCAGAGTGCACTTGAAACTAGCAGCAAATGGATCTCTTTCTCTTTCTCCCTCTCCCGCTTCACCCCTTTCTTTTTGCCACTTCCCGCCCTGCTGCCCCACCCTGTCTGCCCTTCACTTTTTGGTTCCGTTGCAGTCGCTGCATTTTTAGGTGTAGCCATTAAATTTAGAACTTTTTCTGCACGCTTGTCTGAGCGCCCCAGCGGGTGGCAGGGGCGTAATGAAGGGAGTGCTGCCGATGAGCAAGGGGGGTTAAGGGGGTTGTGCCGGCAGGGAGTGGAGTGGAGTGGAGTGGCGGCATGGCGTGGCGTGTTACGGGGCAGTCGGGTGCGGTTAAATGGAAAATGAAGCGTCTGCCGCTTGAGCCAGTAAAAACTGAACCACACGAGCGAATGATAGCCAGAGGGTAGGTCAAGGAGTTGCCTAGATGCAGGCTAATAGTCACGAGAAGAGGAATGCTAAGAGGTTGCAGGACAGGACATACAATTTTACTTGTCCATCAGGAAAGACTTTATTGGCTTTTATTGTGATTTATTACGGCCTGTCAGATATATAATTGAAGCTTCCAGGAGCTGCTGAATTTTGTTAAATTTATTTTAGGCATCATTTTGCTTGAGTAGCTGAAGCAACAATATTTTGGGTAGCTTTGCCCCTTCGCAGCACTTCGTATAAAATTTATTCAGTGAACCCTTTCATATACTCATCGCTCCACCCTCGAGCATGATCTGTTGTCCATAGAGAATCTCTGCCTGACTCAGATTGTCTCTCTCTGCGTGTCCATGGCATGAGGCATTTTCTTTTCCTTTGCTTTTGTTGTTTTGTGGCACAGCGCTAAAATTAGTTTTTATTGTATGCAACTTGAATTTTCTTTCTCTATTTTTTTCGCTTCCTATTTTTCTATTTGTTTCCACTATCTTTTTTTTTTTGTGATTTTTTTTGTGATTGTGATTCTTAATTTGCTTTTTGTGGAAAGCGTCAAAATCTTTCCTTTGCTTTTTGGCCATGGCTGTGCCAGTGCTGTTGTTGCAGCTGGTTGTTGTTGTTTTCTGTTGTTTTTGCCTGTTGTCTCGTGCTGTTGCCAGTTGCACGTTGCCGCCTATTTTTGCCCCCCTGCTCCTCATTGGGGTACGTCTTTGTCTCGTGTGTGCTGGCTGGCTACCGTTGGCAGCTATTATTTTTAGCCAGCCTGCGGCAAATTCTTACTTTTTGCGTCTTTTATTTTCTTTGATTTCTATTTTATTTCTATCTATTTTTTATGCTTTTTTCTATTTTATTTTGTGCATTTTTTTGTTTGCCTTTTTTAATTTTATTTTCTGTATTTGTTTTTACGCCTTTCTGTTCCTCTTTTTTATGCTGTTGATTTGTTGCCATTGGCTTGGTGCTTGCTTGGTGTTTGGCTCAAATGAATTTGTTTGATTTTCCATTTACGCTGAGTTTGTTTATTAAAATTGGCACACACACTGCGTATGTGTGATGTTCGTGTCTCGGACAGTCCCTTCCTCTCGCTCGTCTGTCTGACTGTTTGTCTGTGTAGGTTTTGTATTACCCGGCGGCTTTTGATTTGCGTTTGAATCTTTGACAGGTTTCATTTCTGGCATTTGCTTTCTGGCTAATTTTTGCTTTTATGCTTTTATTATTGTTTTTTAGTTTTAAAAACAGAATTTGGGTTGGAGGGAATAACAGATAGCTGGTACCCCACATTGGACTGAGATTTGGGTCAGGGGAGCACCAAATGATGTGATAGAAAATATAGTCAGGGAAAAAGAAAACATTCAAAATGGAATAGGTTTAGGCAATAGGGATTTATGTACGGAAATATGTTTGGAGAGTGTTAATTTATTGGAAATTGGGTGCCTTATGGGTTTGTTTATAGAAATTATAGATGGAAAAAGAAATGGAAAAAATATTAAAGATTTTTAGATATTTCTAGAAGGAATTTCTCTAGGAATCAGGAATAGGAATAGGAATCAGGAATAGGCACAAATATAAATATTTAATTAATTAGCCAATCTTTGAGCTAATATTTGCTCAACATTTTGTATATATCTTCCTGAAACTTCTATCCGTTTCCCCTTATACTTGGTTGTCCCTTGTAAACTTTTGTTGATTGAACATTGACAACCTTGTTTACACATTAATTGAGATTGCCGCAACTCAAAGGCGATCCAACAAAGCTGCAACCTTTCAAATCAGTTGACAACTTGCTGTCGTCGCAGTTCTGCCCCACCACCCAAATCCTCTTTTACGCTCCACCCAACCAGATGTCTTCCATTTCAACACCTTGGACAAATAAATGTTTCCAAAAAGTTCTTCCCTGCTCCAAGAACCCCAAGCACTCTGTGTGTGTGATGCTGGGACCAAGGAATGCTTTTTGTCTATTTTTATTGGGGCGCAACAGCCAGAGGTTGGGGGAATTTTTGAGCTTAATGCCTCATAGCATATAGGTAGGTACACACATGTTTGATCTGTTGGAGGATGGTGCGAGTATATTTACCTTTTTGATTTCATAAATCCCAACAATGTCTGGCTGCCGTGTGTGTTGTGCTGTTTGTTGCTTAATTTGAATTTAGCTGATGCTTGCTGGGCGGTGCTGGTGGCTGATTAAGATTTGTTGTTGATTTTATTTTAATTTTTGATTCATTAAAGTATTCCGAGTTGCTAATTAGTCACCAAAACGAACTTATTTGTAGCCTGTTTGCATTAAAAGTTCCTTAGCTCATGCATAAATTTGGCATTTTTTAACACAAACACAATTTTTGCTTTATTCGTGAATTAATTTGTTGATCATTTCCTCGCAGTTTTTTTTTTTGCTGAAACTCGTTTGTTTTTTGTTTTTATTTATTTTTTTCTATTAGCTTTTAGACAAATTTGTTTGCGCGTTAGATTCAATTATTGATAAGAACTTTTTTTGTTTGTTTTTTCGAATTTTTAAATAGTTTTTGGAGTCTTATTTTTGTTGCAGCAAAAGCCTCGGGGCATCGTTTTTCCAAAACGTGCGAGCCGCGTGTGTCGGCAGCGGTACTGCCGCTGGCTGCTGTGTGTGTGTGTGTGTGTGTGTCTGTGTGTGTGCGTGAGGCCGGCTGCTAAAAATATCTATGAGTACGCGACGCGCTGTGTATCTTTAGCGCAGCAGCTGTAGTTGTGGCTGTATCTGTATCTGTATCCAATAACCCGACAAAAATACACGGCCAACGGCTCGTCGCTGTCGCTTGGAGAAAATGCTGCTGCGTGTCCGCTTGCTGCGCTTGTCCGCTGTGCACTGAGCGACAGGCAAGAGATCTGAGATCTGAGATCCAACGTTGATCGTCAATGTCGTCCACTATGCAGCATGCAGCATGCTATGTGTGGGGATACCACACTTGGGCTGTGACTCCGTTAGCCAGCCCCCGAGATCAATTCTGATGGGGCGGCCCACACAAACGCTGGACACGGCTTGCTGCTGGCTCACGGTTTGCTGTGCGTTTGTTTTGTGGGGCTGGGTTCTGAGCCGGCGGCGGCGGCGGCGGCAGCGGCAGCGTCGGGCACTTGTCTGGAGCGCTGAGCGTGCGGTGCGCTATTGGAACGATCAATGAATGAAATGCCGCATTAAAAGGCAGCACAGAGGAGCGCACGTATCGCACGGATATACACAGATACTCGCACAGTTAGCAGGGGGGGGGGGGGGGACCAATAAACCGAGAAACCCACTGGCGCTCCACAGCACAGCACAGCACAACAGCGCAAACCCCACGCCAACACAACGTCATTGAAAGCCGCTGCAGAGCAGCGAAAGAGAAACCAGTTCGAGAGAGCAAAGCGCGCGCGCGCGCGAGAGAGAGAACGGTCGAGTGTCTCTCTCTCTCCCCAAAATGTGTGGGTGCTTTTTGCGTTGGCCGGATCAGGTCTCCACAGTGGATGTTTTGGCTTCTTCATCTCCCTCTCTCTTTCTCACTTTCTGCTACGTACTCTTGAGTGGTTTCCCATTCAAATTTTCGTTTTCGTTTCGAGTCGAGTCAATTTTTGTCTGTGCTCTCCTGAGATTTGGTGCCGAGGCAAAGCATGATCTAATATCGCCAGGCAGTTATTTATTTAAATTTATTGCTAATTTTTTATGCTGCTGCTGCTGCTACGTTTGACATTCATTTGTACAAGTCAAACACTGTCCGGAGCAGCTCACTTGAAAATACTTAAAAATGTTTGTTCATCTTTCATTGCGATTGGTGGCTGCTGCGCCAACGCTTTGCATTTGCTTGATTGGAGGAAACTCCAATGCCGGAGTCTGAACTTTTGAGTGCAGATATTCATGATTGATATTTATCTAGATTATCTGCGAATTGGCTACGAATTATGATGGAGCATGGAGCAGCAAAGTTCAAGGAAATGTCTCTATTTGGGCTCTTTATTTACGAGGCCATGTGGGATGACATGGAGCTAGACTCTTGATCTAAGTTAGGATATGTTTTATACATATGCTTCATTATCATAGAAATGGCCTTTTCTAATTTTGTAAGGTGTTTTCTAATAAATAAAGCCGTTGGACATCATTTTTAATGGTTTTTTAACTGCATTCGCAACGTTCTAGAAAGTTCATTCTCACTTAAATTATTCCATCTATTTTTGGTGGCTTGCGAAAGACTTTACCATGTTAGTTTAGCCAGTAAAGTTGTGGAAAAAAGTATAATTATGCACGGCTATGGTTATGAATATATCTGTAATTGCAGCTTAAATATGGTTTTAAATATATCAAGAAATCTAAAGTTTAAATTGACTTTCTTCCATTTCTTGCCTGACTTTAAAATTCATTTATTCATTAATTTGAGTCAATTGTTGCAGATAAGTAGTCAGATAGAGTTTCGTCTGATTTTGCTCTTTTATCTACCGAAATGATTTAAACATTTTACTATCAATTCAATCTAAATTGGAATAAAAAATGTTATAGCTTCACTTCCAATCAATAAACTGTAGATTGGCACACTTATCAGTAGATCACTGAATTAACTCATTTGCTAATCGAATTAGTATGCCTTGATGCCAATTTAAATTAGGTTCTATACTAATTTAAGTCTTGATGAAGTTTGTATTGAAGAAATCTGCAGTTAAGGTATTTTTCTTATCACTTAGATCGGAATATAACTTGGAGTTATCTTTATGCATCAGTTGGGCCATCAAATATTTGAAGTTTGTTGTGTATTCAGGTACCAGTTATATACAGATCATTTCTGTATGCCCTGCCCTGAGCAAAGACTCACAATATTTGCATCAAGCGCGACAATAAAAATTCCTTACCTATCTGAAAGACAACTGAAATGGTATATAAAATAGATTGATTTATTACTATTTCATCATTTATCCATGATTCACACATTGTACTAAATTTGATTAATATTATTCAGATTGACTATAATTTATTCTGATTCGTTTCGATCAATTTCCGTCCCGCGATCGTCCCCCATTGGGTGTGTGTGTGTCGCCGCCTCTCAGGTTTGTTTTCATTTTGGAATCGCTAAGCTGATTTCAAAGTCATATTTGATCTGTTGGCACTTGTTGGATTTTGTTTTCATTATTATTATGAAACAATTGTGTTTATAGTCATTTATATCTGTATGGTTTTTATGCATACAAATAATTATAATTAAACTGACAACGGGCAAATAATTGCAAAATGGCTTTGCTCCTGCGGGCGAAACGAGTTGCCTTTTTGCTGTGGATTTATATATGACGACATGCGACTCGTATGCCACTTGTATACGGCTTTTGAGCTTGCTCCGATATGCTCACATATATCTATATTGCTTCCAGCAATAGACTGATCGACTCCCTGACTGACTGCCTGCCTGACTGCCTAATTTATCTTCTGTCGTTGGCTTCTGTCCGTTGTTCGTCATCGTTTGTCGTGTTTTGTTCTTGAGCAAATAAATCATGATGACAACAGTTAAATTTGATTATGATTTTTCCCTCCAAACAGCGTAGAGCATACAACATTTTTCATGGCACAAGGTCACCAGCGAGACTCAAGTCGGACACACGTACAAAAGAGAGTGGAAAATTAACGCATGCAACATTAATTTGATTTGCGTGCGAGCTAAAAATTATACTATGTATATTATATATGTATATACATATATATATATGTACAAATTGGCCAATAGTGTTGTTTTGTTGTGCTGACAGCTTAATCTGCAGTACCACCATGACGACTGCCACGACAAGAGAACATGAATAAGCGAGCCATAATTAAAAAAACAAACGTCACATTTGAATGTTTGCTTTATGGTCATCCATGGCATGGACCCAGTCGTGGCGCTAGGAGGGATTTGGAGGAAACGAATTTATAGAATTTCTGTTGGTAGTTCGATAATCCCTTTGCACTCTTGATTGCCATTGCCTCTGCCTAATTCCCATTCCTATTTACTCTCCACCCATGTCGTTCAATTGCTTATGCAAATGTTCTAAGTTTTCTGCTTTGGCTTTGGCTTTTAATTGCCAGCTTCGGAAATCACATTTGCCTTAATATGGTCACAAAGCGCGAGTCCAAGTCCAATTCCGAGCCACAAACCATAAGCCAGCACCCTCGCTCTTCCGCTCTCCCGCTATCCCGCTCTCTCTCTCTTTCTCTGTTAACGGAGCTCCCGCTTTGGAGGAGCTCTGCTGCGACGTGTCTGCAACCATTTATGGCTGTTGCTTGGGAAAGCGGTGAGAAAGCAAAAAAGATACGCTCTCAGCTGGCTAATTGTGAGCAGAGCATCTCGCATCGAACTCTGGCCTGGAACTCAGCCTCTGAGGCTTCTGAGTTGTCTCTTGGGCAGGTTTTGTTGACTTCTCTTGACTGCTTTGCTTGAGTCTCCCACCAGCACTGTGTGTGTGGGTGTCGGGGTGTGTGGGCGTCGACCGGGGCTTGAGTCAACGTTGATTTTGTTTTATACTTTACGTAAATTTATTATTACAAATATCGTTGTTGCCGCGCGCGTCTCAAGCGGAAATACACTCGACTTGGCCGCTGCCCACGCTCTCCCATGGCCATAACCACCTGCACTGTCTCCTCAACTCTGTGTTTTATTTGATCTTTTTTTGTCTTTGCATTTTTGGGGAAGTGGAAGCTGGACGGAGCCAACTATTACGAGTGGTATGGGGACGAGCGGAAATGCCAAACGATTAAGTTGTTGTTTCTCAGCTCGGGCTTCAGTTTCGGTTTCTGTTGCTATTTCTGTTTCGTTTCTTTATTTTTATATTTTTGTTTAATTAATTTTTGTACGCATTTTGATACTTGTAATTTGCATAAGTGAGGACAAAGCGTGTGGGTGTGAGGCATACATATCTACATGTGAATCAGTCGTTAAGTTTATGAATGGCATAGTAAAGTTACTTTGAATGACACTCGGATATGGCTGGGGCAACGTTGCCAGTTTTCATAAGGGCGCAAACAATGCGCAATTAACCGACATTTGTGTGGAGATTTTTGAATGAATTTATAATGTTCATTGACTTTTGATGTATTGAATTTATAATAGGAAATGCGCAGGAAGTAGTGATGGAAAATCAGATTAGAATTGATAATTAAATTATATTTAAGAGTTTTCAATAGCTGTTGCGTTTTTCACAAGGCCAGTGATTGTTCCTAGAAATTGGAAGCGAAAGCGAAAGCAATGCAAGAACGATAAAGAAATTAACAGCTATGACAAAAAGCTCAAGACTACCTGCAGGGGTAACGCATTGCGACTTCGAGAGCGAGAGAAAGCAATTAAAAGAGAGCTTTTGGAGCAGGTAGAGGCTGCAGCTAATCGCAGCACGAACTTCAGCTAGAGCGCGAGAAAAGGGCAGGAACGAAGAAGGCGGGATAGATAGACAAAAGAACGGCCGC